ACTCAAATCTGATTATGAATAACAACTCATTTGACTTCTAGTTCTGCCCTATTCTAGCATTTAGCATACAAAACATTTAATATCTATTGCCATAATCACTGGAAATTGTTGAAAATTGATAGGCTTCTTTGTTTCACAACCTTAAACACTGTATTAGTTATAAAGTCAATCAGATATCAACTTAAGCATCTAGAACGTCCACAGTAATTATCACAATTTGTTGAAAATCAACAGGCTTCTTCATCTCATGACTTTAAACACTGTGTATAAATTTAAAGTCAATGGATATTAACTTTAGCCTCCAGAGCGTCCACAAGAATTTTTAGAGTGATCAAGGGCCAAAACTCTGGTAGTAATTATTGGAAATTGTTGAAAATCAATAGGCTTTTTCGTATCATGATCTTAAACACTGTGTTTAAATTTAAAGTCAATCGATTATTAACTTTGGCTCATAGAGCGTCCACAAACAATTGTGGATGCTGGAAGGATGAACGAACGGGGGCGACCACAATATACAATCACATTTCAATGTGGGCGTATAAAAACTGAATACATGTACCTATAATCTTGCAGCAAAATAGATACATCACACATGCACATGTATAACAGCTTGGAGTTAATTATCAGTACATGTATACATCTTCTTGGAATTTTTAAAGGACTGTAACATGTGCATAGCTTCATTTTATTTTGTTGCAATGCCTTGTGTTTTCTTATGTATTCTTAACCTTCAATGACAAACTGCAAATCTGAACTCTCATGAAATTACTTTGATGGAGTAATCACTATTTTTTTAAAATAAAATTAACAAACAGACCAGTCCTATTCTCTTTTTTAATGTAAAAAACAAACTAACATTTTAGTACCAGTATAATTTATGCAGAAACGTTCCACAGAGATACAGCAACATGTATACATGTATGTAGTAGTACAGGACTATATATTAAAGGTTTCTGAAAGTCTTTCACAAACAATTAACCAGTTACGGTCTCTAAAGTATATGTGGGTTTCCTCCTTTAACACAGAAAATTAAACAACAACCATATTTTTTAGATGGGTGTGCCTAATCTTTTATCAATGCTCACATGTACAGCATGTGTATGCACAGGTGCACTTATATGATGTGCAAGTATTATCAAATGGAATTGGCAGGTTTGTAGATTAGAATGATTAGCTACATGTACATACAAGGAAGTGTAGGACATTACAATAGTGAACATCTGTCAGAGACACTTTGATCTTCTATAAGTTATTTCTATGAATTTAAAAGACAAAAAAGTAAAAGAGGGTGCTAATTGTACTAATTGGTTTGACATTGACATACTTGTATTTGAAGAATACAAAAGCATATGTACATGTAATTAAAGACACGATTATTACATTTTTTAATTTTCATCTTTAATTACACTGGGTAAACAAAGGATATCTTCCATAGTACTACATGTATGTGTTATTGTACACTGTATGGGAAATCTGTAGCAAATTTGTAACAAAAAATCATTTGAAAAAAATTGCTTTAGATTAAAGATGCACAAAAAACCAACCATATCTGTTTTCTTTAAGGAATTAAATTACATCTACAAGGTAAATCAAGCGTGAAATCTTCTATACATTTACATGTATATTGTTAAAACCAGCAACCACTATACCGGTATATAAAATATATATTCTATTGTGTCGAAAAATTAAGTAAAAAATTTGGGGACTAAGTAACATTTCCATTTGCTGTTGATCTAGAAAGGTCGCATTATGTAAGCGCTAAATCTACCTATTGCAGGTCTTTATTTTGGCTTCAAATGTTATATAAACTATTATTTAAACATTCTTAACATGGCAAGCCCATAATCAACTCTCTAGGTCATCGAATGGCTCCAATTAAGTAGATTAGAAAGCTTTGAGCATTTAATGATTTAATTTAAAAATGGAGAAGAGCGACTAAGGCTTAATTAACAAGTACCGTTGTCACAGTACTAAACAATCAATGCCACATATTGTCAAAACTCCAAAGAGTAATAACTTCGTTCAGAATAAAGAATTTGAATGAAATTTTCAATACATTCATTTTGCATTATCTATTTTGAATGTTACATCTTTAAGAGAAATGAAATGGGGTTTAACGTCCTACTGTTCTGTTCTGACTGGGCTAATGACGACGGGCATACGCCATACAGTGTGCTATGAGGGGAATTTTGCCCGGGCAGAGGCACTTTGGCCTACTCTTATATCAAATTCCAACTGCCAAGGGATCTTTTACGTGCATGCCAATGTATACACTAGACCTCGGTTTCCATCGCATCCAAACAACCAGTCAGCTGTCCTTGTCAGGCCCTCTGTCCATGCGCACTGACATTGTGACAAGGGGAAATTACGACTGAAAATCCCGAAAACTTTCTCGGCCAATGCAGGGCATCTTTAAGAGCATACATGTATATATGAAAATAAACTTTATTAAAGATACATTATGGGAGATTAGATAAAGAACTGGCAGTTCTCACTATAATAGTTAAAAACTAGATAATGCAAAGGAAATTTGCTGAAAATCTCAGTCAAATTGATCCACTCTGAGTCTGAACCGAGATTTTTGCGACTGTTTTTTAGGCCTGGCTTCGAGCATCATTACTAAAGTTGGTACGATAAAAAACAGAGTCTTGATTATCCATTTTTAGATTTAATCATCAATGAGCATTGAGCAGCAGATTGGATTCCAATCCAGTAAATATCGCAGGCTAGCAATGACATCGAGAGTTAATTAATGTCTAATTAATAATTTAGATAACATTTCAGGCCTAAAGAAAGACCTGTAATAGCCAGATTTAGCTCTAGCATAATGTATGTTTAATACTTCAAATTGTTTTTAATTTCTTCCATGGTTTTTTTCTCATTTAAAGAAGCCTAATTACATTGTCTCAAAGCAATTTCATTGGTCTATGCTTTAGGACAAGATTACTTTGATTTTAACTGATGGAGAGTGATGAAACCTGACTGAGTTTGATCGTGAACATTTTATGCTTAGACTAATCATAGATAATCAGTTTGATTAAATATGCTATTAATTAATATGTGTCATCTATTTATTTTGGGATTTCGGTGTGAGACATCAGCCTCACTGTTCACTTGTTTTAATTTATGATCAACATCAAATGGAAACTGAAAGCTGAAAATTTGCCTTTCTTCAAATAAAAAGGGCAAGGGTCTCCTTCCTTAAATTAACCAATTTTATTCATTAAAAATAAATCTGGGATTTCATGCATCATTTTTTCAATGAGTCTGTGCTCAATTATAAAAATCAGAGAACTGGCCAATTTAGATCAAAGAATTTTCTGTGAATTTTACATGATTGAAAACCTCTGTCAACTATAATGCATATAAATTTTACTATATATCATCGATGAATTGACAAGCCAATCTAATTTGGACTTACTTCTCAAGCCTAGCAGTGTGAAATTTGATCAAATCTCTTCAAAGAACATGTAAAAAATTGAATATAAAATATACATGTACAACAAATTATGTGCTATGTGAACTTACAGGTAGTGGTTTAGTGCATACATGTATTACTAAATGCACCGGTAATAAACAATGCATATTACTAAATGCACTTGTAAATAAATATAAACTAAACAAAACAAAGATTGACAGAAGTAACATACAATATTCTTTTTAAAAATTAAGAAATGAAATGAGCTTTAAGTCCAAGTGATCTGTTCTGTGTCAACAAGGGTAATGAAGATAGGCAGAACTCCCAAGGGTTAATTCATGACATGTGCACGCCAAGATGCATTGGACCTCAGTTTTTCATTTCATATTATTGACTAAACACTGTTCCTTGCTTGGCCCTTTGTCATGCTCCACTGAGAGAGGAAAACCCGGCAAGAAAATCCTGAGGTACTTTTCGGTCACACAATTGAAAGCAGGACACTCGGATTTGTGTGTGTGTGTGAGAGAGAGAGAGAGATGTGGTTTGTGGTTTAACCTCCACTCGACACAAACTAGGTCATTTTGTGACTAACACATGGTTGAATTTTTTATTTCAATAATTCGCTTGCGCGTAGGGGTCTTTAGCAGTGGGAGGAAACTGGAGGACCGATAGAAAACCCACGAGGTTGGACAGGCGACCCTACTCCTTGTCACGTACAACCGGGGGAACCACGCCAGTTGACTCAATGACAGACCTTATGATATACATGTAGAGCGCACATGCTAACCATTCGGCCATCCAACTCCCCTCTTGGATTTCTGAGGCTGGTCTTTATTACTCACAGAGCCACTGTAGCACCCTAACAATAATTCAGATTTGCATCTAGTATCTAGGAAAAACTTAAAATAATCAATTTAATGAATAAAATTCATTTTGTATTCAAATTTTATCCTTTAACAAATTTCTCACATTAATGTAATGATTAAATGAAATAAGAAATGTGATATACTATATTTTGTCAACCATCTGTGTAATTACATAGTCCATAACTAGTTATTTCAATAATTGATGTGAAAAGAGATCTATTTGATTTGTTATTCACTAATTCAGTCAATGAAAGTTATTGAATATCAAGTATAGTACCCACATTTATGTGTCATAATCTCACACTGTTGCCAAATGACAAGGTAATATTACATAGAATATCTATGTGACAATGATATTGGGCAATATCTGAATTATCATGAGATATGTTCTGACATATTAACACACAGACTTATAATGCATATTTTGATTATGATAATGCATCCATACATGTAAGTAAACATATCTATATTTTATTTTGTAAATGTCAAAGCTGGCCATATTTTTATGGTAATGAATAAGAATATCACGCAAGAAGCACTGAGTACATGTACATACCAGTCTACCGTAAGCACGCTTAAAATTCCAATACGAAAACTATCGCTATGTGTATTCCACATTCATAGTACCAGTAGTAACAACAGACAGAATTTTCCCACAGTGTTGGTTAATTATTGTCGCACGTATTCGGAATCCATATTATGAAAGCTTTGCTTACCTTCATTGCCGATTAATCTTGCCTTCTTCACTGAAATAAACAAACAATACACACAATTAGGAATAATTAAGCTAGAAATCCATATAGGGTAAAAAAGAATAAGACATATTCTTCCGTATATGGAAGTAAATGTTGAAAACTACCTTCCTATATCGGTACCATGGAAATAGCGAGACGGCGATTTTACCGTTATTCGTATACTCTCTACTGTCAAACGCATATTTACTCCAAAACTGACTTACCACAGACACAAAGCAAGGACATATTTTATGGTAGTTTATCCAACACTAATAATTTCCATGTGATCATTTCAGCTGTATTTGTATAGGGTATTTATCCTTCAACTATGATAACAACTCCTTCGCACTGAGTCAGCCGAGCCGCCATCTTTGATAGTTTGTGACGTAGTGGGATCAGCGTACTCATTAATATTAACAACCCTATAAAGTATTTCTTCGGAACCATTTAACCGAAACAAACCATGACTTGATTTAATGTAAATACTGACACAAATTTGTCCATTTGTTGTTTTTTATTTATTTTCGGAGAAAACATAATTGTTAAGACATTTATAATCTAGGCATCACACATTTTACAAAATCGATATTTCATTGACGCAGGTCTTAAGAGTTAACATGGGGTTAGTTGTGAATAAGTTTTGTTTTATTAACACAAATCAAATATTATCATAAATATTTAAGCGTGGATCACATATAATTGCTTATTGTTTGGAATTTTTAATATCACACGGGCTCGTAAGAGTGAAAAAATCTTTCACGCGTTATTAATTGTGATAATGTATAGAGCATTTGCATCTGCAATGTTTAAATTTAACCTGCTTGGGTGCCTTTTAATTGTAATTCAGTTAATTCGAAACCTCAAATTTCAGTATGTTTCAGCTTAATTTTAAACGAACAACAATGCTTAGTTTATACGCAAAAGACACGTGTTGTCATGCACATCAAATACATTTATTAACGTATGAAACCTTAGAAGATGTATTATGTTTTATCACTCGTGAGAAACAGGACATCCAACATTAAAAGTTCTAAATCATTTTATTTTTAAATATATCGTAACATCTAACATAACTTTGTTTTGTTCGTGTTATTTAAGATATTATGTGTTCACAAAGATTTATATTGAGATTTCTATATTTAGATAGGGATCCGAGGCTATATTTCCCGGAAAATCCTAAATTAGGATCTAGCCCGTGAGTTAAGCAAATTCAAAGACTAATCATAGGCGTACTAGCCAGGAGGGCAGCTGCCTCCCTAACTGTCGGACAATCTGACTCTTCGGGCAGACGGATAAAGTGAAAAAAATTGACAAAATAAAGTGCTCGAAATCTATTAGAACACTAATTTTACTTTCTTTTAATTGAATACCGCGAATTTATACTGAATTGACTATAAATTAAAATATTTTGCCTGGAGTTACTCTGTGCGACATTTTTCGGGCATTTGAGAATGCAGTTGCAACAGTCTGATTAGATGATTGGAATTCACGTCGGAGAGTGGGATTTCGGTTGCAAAAATTATACGGTTTTCAACACTTTTAACCTAGGACATGTCCAAATTTATGTATAAGTCATTATTTTCTATACCAAATGAGCAAATGAGGGCGGTCATACGCCATGCATTGTGTACAATGAAGGGAATTTTGTCCTGACAGTTGTGTTTCGGCTTACTCTTCATCAGATTCCAAGTTTTATGGGTTCTTTTACACCTCGTGTTTTTGTCTAATCGGAACGATTACATGTTTATCCTTACCACTGACAAGGGGAGGGGGCGGGGCCGTCGAACACTCTGGGTCAACACATACTTGGAGGTGGCGCGTATGGAAATATAATTTGTAGTCGGTGTTAAAGCCAAGTAAACTCAATATCCAATGAAAACGTCCCGATTATTTCTCTATTTCTCGGTTACGTAAATATAGTCGAACATTTACTTGGTTAAACTATTTTAATTGTTTATATGGGATGCCAGATGTAATTGAAGATAATTTATGTATATAAACACAAATATGAAATTAAAACGGAAGATTATCACCGATATTTTCAACTGTTAAAGCGATAATTTCATAATTATTTCTATATCTGTTGCTTAATATGTTGTCAAATCAGTATAGGAATCATTCTAGCACTTAAAAAAAATTCACCTAAAAATTTGAAAGATTCACCTCCTTTATTTTAAAATAGTATCATTTTTCACTGGAAAACTAAGTCTACATAATGGAAGTGGTCAGCAGATTCCGTTACTCTAGCTCTTGCTAGATGGCCACAGATCACTACTGTTTTCCCCATTGACTTTAATGTTAATTCTCGTCTCTTAGACCGGCTCTAACATTTTCCCAAATTTTTGTTGGGTAGAACGCTTTCTGCCACAGATGGAGCAACATGTGGCAAACGCTTACCCACATAGCTGTATGAGGTTCACCATGAAAAACTTGAGATACACAAGCTGGACGTAGAGATAAGTAAACATGTAATTTTCGGCTCTACATTTCAGCGTAACCAACGCCTCAACTCTTGTATACTTTCGCCTCAAAATCATGAATATTCACCAAAACCTGGCAGAAAATGTATTTTCAAACCCTTATCTTCAATTCTACACCAAAAAGTTAACAAAAATCGCCATGCAAAAGGGGGAAAATGGGAAAGGGAGAGAAAGACTAAAAAAAAAAACTTTCGCCCTAACGGCGTAGACATATTTGGTGATCTGTGTCCAGATGTAGGGTTTGCCGAGTGTTTAAACCAGTGATTCTCAACCAGATCTTCCTACGTGTGCCGCGAAATTCGAAACACTGCAATAAAGTATGTTCATAACTGTGTTTTTCTTTATTTAGTTTGAGTCATTCTATGTGTCTATGACTAGTGTGTGTCTACGGTTGTATGCCGTCTATGACTTGCCATGTTTTTATTTTGCAAAATTCAAATATTTTTCATATATATTTAGCCAAGTGTGCCGCTATTTTTTCATGTGTTCCAAGGTGTGCCGTTGGCAAAAAAAGGTTGAGAAACACTGGTTTAAACAGATAAGAATAATGGAGGCAAACCACTATTAAATGTCACTGGTCAACCTCATGCAAATCTGAAGCAAAGACATAACCATCTGTTGCTTTGTCTGCAGTGGAAAGTGTTCAGCCTAACGAAACGTTTGGGGAGCCGGATGAAGAGATCAGAATTAACACTGAAGTCAATGGTGGAAATTATTGGTGGTCTGCATCCCAACGATACCCTTTTTTGTGTAAAATTACCTCCCTTGTTTTGATCAATGACGTCATTAAATTGATGCTTTCAGACTCAAACTTTTCACTTTCAACAAGAAAATGATATTTTTGTCAATTTCTCAACTGACACTTGTGAATTATAGAATTAATATGATTATTATTTAACAAGATATATCATAATTTTACTTTGTATAGATTTCATGTATTTTAATGCTTTATTTTAACATATTTTAAGCATAGACCTATCTAGAATTTGTAATGGTATACATGTACACTCATGCCTCTTTGGAATTATTAGTTATGATAAATATTTTGATAATATTTTACTAATTTGCCTTTTTATCATAGATTTGACCGATGGAGCAGAAATCAGATTTTTTATAGGCGAAATTTCTACATGTATAATGTTATTAACGTCTCAAAGGCGCTGACGTGACCTGTTGATTCAAGTCAGGAAGAGAATAAGAGATACTGTTTTCCTAATAGCAACGGACTCTCGCCTTCTGACAGTAGGCCTAATAACCAAGGGGATCATTTCGACCAAGTCTGAACGGCAAATCTCACCACTGCACAACCCATTGCCCTGGCACGCCTGTAAACAGTCTCGATGTCGTAGTAAGAAAATGATACTGAATATAAAATATAACTATATGAATCCTGAAAATACAATTAAATAAAAGAGGACGACGAAAAAAAACTGTGATCATGTTCCACATTTATCATATATTTTGATAAATTAACAACAAAGAGAATAGCCTGTAAATAATAACAGCGTCAACTTTGGAAGATAACAGAATCTGTCCACTGCAGTCTACCTGACCCGAGATAACCTAGGTGGACACAGCTGTGCGTATTACACAGGTAATGGAGCCATGGACTGATTCTGAACTCTAGAATTGTATCTATATGTTAAACACCATGTTAAATATAACTATTTAATTTGCATACGTCATTCAAATATATATATTATAAACAAATCGGACGATATTTTTATAATGTTTATTAGTACTGTTAGTTTAACCTAATGCGAAAGCTGTTAGCATCAAAACTTGTTTCGGAACTGAAATGCATGCCCCGCAAAGTCAACACTTAAAGGGACAATAACACTCTTGCTGGCTTGACAGCTCCAGAAAATAGAAAAATAGCCTTATTCTAAGTACAAGATGTGTTAGTGTCTTACCTGTTGTGTAAATTATCCATTAAATCCTATTTTACTTGTCCAGAGGGTTCAAAAATATTTTTAAATCCAAGTCACATTTGAAAAGCTTTACGTCAGGCTTTTTAAATCATTTAGTTAAATTTTTCCAATTTTTTAAATTAGGTGTGTTAAGATGAAATTTGTATCATCAATTAATTGGAATATTGTAAAATAGTTCAATTTGTTGACCAGAATAAAGATTGGGACATATTATTCAGTTACAACAAGAGTGGTATTGAGCCTTTAACTAGGTCGTTTTGAGACTAACGTATAATATATACGGCAACATAAAAAATGGGCTGGGGGGGGGGGGCGGTGAAATGAATCGTTTTTTTGTGCCATCCGAACGACTAGACGATGTTCCTTGCCAGGGACTCGGGATTGAGCCTGGGACCTCCCAATTAGCGAGCCAACGTCTTTACCAACTGAGCCACAGGGAATGTCGTTTCATCTACATATACGCACGGATTGTTTACTCTTTCATTGTTCTTTATATTTCAATTGTAGAAAGGTCTGTTATATGTTGGAGAAAATTTAAATCATTATATCCTTTGCCAAATAAACAGATATTGGCCACTTAAATGGTGTGCCTGAAGCAACGACGAATGTCCCTTTCAGCAGGATTATTTGACGTTAGGCTATAATAAATAGGTTATTAGTGGAGAATATATGATTATGTAGAATTCACTACCCCGAGGGAAGCATACATGACGTAGGTCAAGATTAATATGTCCTCTGCGCAGATTATGGGATTATCGTGCAAGAAAATCTGATTGTGACGAGTAAAAACGGTTGTTTCAGTGGACTTTCTTCTATTTTTGCAGCATTAAAGTAGTGGTGTCACATGTATTTTAGTGAATAAAAATGGTTAAACCTGTGTGTAAGTTTTATTTCTGTCCTTTGCAACAATTTGGAAATCTGTATACCGGGTACTCTTTCGAGAAAACAAAAACGTAA